CCTTTTTAATTCTCCAAATCAAAATTAAGTTTGCTCGTCAGTAGAGTCTTTTTTTTAATTCTTTGATTAAAATTTAAATTTGTTTGTCAGTAGAGTCCTTTTTTTAATTCTATAATTCGAAATTCAAGTTTGTTCGTCAGTCGAGTCTATTTATTTTTATTAAAATTATTAAGTTTGCTCTTCAGTAGAGTCTCTTTTTTAATTCTTTGAATCAAAATTAAAGATTGCTCGTCAGTAAAGTCCCTTTTTCAATTTCCAAATCACAAATAAGTTTGCTCGTCATTAGAGTCCTTTTTTTATTTATTAGATTAATATTCGATTTGCTCGTCAGTAGAGTCCTTTTTCTATTATTATTAATTATATTAAAATTTACTGGTCAGTAGAGTCTTTTTTTAAATTCTTTGAATCAAAATTTAAATTTGTTTGTCAGTAGAGTCCTTTTTTATAATTCCCTAAACCGAAATTAAAGTTTGCTCGTCAGTTAAGTCCCTTTTTTAATTCTTTGAATTAAAATTTAAATTTGCTCGTCAGTAGAGTTCCTTTTTTATTTCAAAGTTTCTTTACATTCAAGTTGGCCGTCAGTAGAGTCCCCTTTTATTCAAAATTTTCTTTACATTCAATTTGCTCGTCAGTAGAGTCCTTTTTATTTATTAGACTTCAATTCAATTCGCTCGTCAGTAGAGTTTTTTCTCAATTTTCTGATTTTCTCGTGATTTTCTCGGTAAATTTCGTGATATCAAAAAAATTTAGAATTTCCCAAAAATATTCAAAATTTACAAAAATTTTGAAAATTATGGTTAGATCTATTATTGACATGCACCACTAGTTCTTTGTTTGTGTCGATGATACTTCGATGTCAAGGTGTCAATGTCGATGACCATCGCCATAAATAGAGAAAGAGCCATTGAACTCTACTGTCAACGAACAAAAATCAGTGGCGGGGAAGGGGGTGTAGTTGAAAATAATTATGGTGAAGATTATTTTAGGGCTGGTATGAAATTGAGGACATTATTAGGAAAGGGCGAGGGTTGGTGGGGTTGTTTAATACTGGCACGTCATTGGGCGATAATCGGTCAGTGAACTTCAATTAACACTTTGTATATATATATATATATATATATTATAGTTATATATATATATATATATATATAAATGAATTAGTACAAATTAAGAAAGTCAAATACTAAAATTACTGCATTTAATTTTGAACAAAGTACCCAACACTCTGAAGTTGTACACGGGTTGATACTGTCAACTGTTTTTTAACCGTTGACATTTGAATTTGAATTTAGGTAATAGTAAATTTATGTATATATCTCTTTTAAGTTTAGTTTTCTGGTCAGTAGAAAAAAATCAGTTTGTTCGACAGTAGAGTTCTATTATATATATATATATATATATATATATATATATATATATATATATATATATATATATAACGAAAAAGTCTTCACTGTTTTTAATTTGTTTTTAAAAGTTACTCGGTGGTAGTGTTCTTTTCCACTTAATAATTAATTTTTTTATCACATTTGCTCGTCAGTAGAGTCCCTTTTTATAATTTGACCAAGTTTTAGAACAAATATTGTCTTTAATATGTATTTAACATAATATATTTTGAATAAAAAAAAAAGGATTTGTTATAAAATATTTCGCTAATTTCGCGTTCCAGTCGTCAACAGCTCAGTTTGCTCGTCAGTAGAGTCCTTTTCTATTATAATATTGTAAAACTAAACTGAAGCTCAAATTTTAAAATTACTGTATTTAAATAGTAACAAAGTACTCAACAGCATGAAGTTGCCCGCGGGTCGGTACTGTCAACTCTTGTTTTGACGGTTGATATTTGAATTTGAATTTAGGTAACAATAAATGTATTTATATATCTTTATTGTTATTTTCACATAAATTATAAATGTCTCATACTAATAACTAATAATATATTTATTTATACGTTTCGGCACGGTATGTGTGTCATCAATCAGCAAAAAATCTTAATAAACAATACTTAAAATAATTTAACATGCCATAAAACCTCATTCTAAAATTTTTGAAGTAAAACTTCTTTAAGTTCGCTTTCTAAAAATTCAATAAAAATGTATGAACTGTGGACAAAAGACTTAGTTAATTTTAGTATTCGATACAAAAGCGTTAGACCTCACAGATAATAGAAAAAAATCAATAAATTTTAAACATTGTAATATTTTTTCGCTATAAATATGGCTATAAGTATAATGTTTTTATTATAATATAATTATTTCACCATGAAAATCGTTTCCTACTCGTCGAGACCTTTCAAACGATACCCCACAAGCCACAGAACCACAAACTGCACTTTTTGAAGTAAAACTTCTTTAGGCTCGTTCACTAAAAATGCATCAAACGTACAGTTCTTTCGACAAATTTCACAGCAATTCAACTCAATATGGATTTATATCATTTATCATCCCTTTTTCAGCCCTGCACCATCCCACCACACCTCCCTAGGAACCGGTTTCCAACAGATGGCGCGAATGATGGACTCTTTAATCCTGGACGGATTTGCAGCCCCTTTTACAGCATTCACCAAAATCACGACGACCCACAGGACACCTAGAAAGGACCCTAATGTGGGACCAAATTCAGGACAAAATCTAGGGTCGACCACAAATGGCGGAGGAGGTGGAGGATCTTCCAGAAAAAGTCACCATCACCAGAATTCTGGTAGAGGGTATAATAGTCAGACGGGGCGGAGGAATGGGCCACCGACACAGGGTAAGGGGGAGAAATAATTAACCCTTTCCACTCGCGAATTTCGAGATTCATGTGAATTGAATGTTAGGGCAGTGGGGCGGCATGCGAGTGGAAAAGGTTAATGTTAGGGTTAATGAATGTTTTAGTTTCTAAAAGTGCGACAGATCGCTGGTATTGTCTTTTTATTTCATTTGCTCGTCAGTAGAGTCCCTTTTTATAAATAATTTATAATAAGTTTACTTTGTTCGTCAGTGAAGTCTCTTTTTAGGTTTCAAACTTCTAGATTTAATTTGCTCGTTAGTAGAATCCTTTTTTTTCGTTTTAAACTTCTAGATATAGTTAGCTTGTCAGTAGAGTCCCTTTTTGTTTTTCCAAAAATTCCCCAAAAAATTTCAAATTTGTTTGTCTTGATATTTACGTTGCTCGTCAGTAGAGTCTATTTTTTAAATGATTTCCAAAAAGATCCAAATTTGCTCGTCAGTAGAGTTCGTTCTTTGAGAATTTAATTTGTTTGTCAGTAGAGTCCCTTTTTCATTTTCCATCCAATTATGTAATTTAGCCTTTCAGTAGAGTCTTTTATTAATTTTCTAGATCGGGATTTAGGTTTGCTCGTCAGTAGCGTCCCTTTTTGTAAATAATTTCTTATAAACTTTAATTTGTTCGTCAGTAGAGTCCCTTTTCGTATATAATTACCTTTTTGTTCTTTTTTGTTTCCCCAAAAATTTCACAAAAAATTTCAAATTTGTTTGTCAAGATTGATATTTGCTTTGTTCGTTAGTACAGTCCCTTTTTAGGTTTCAAACTTCTAGATTTAATTTGCTCGTTAGTAGAGTCCTTTTTTCCGTTTTAAACTTCTAAATATAGTTTACTTGTCAGTAGAGTCCTTTTTTCATATATAACTTCTTATAAATTTTAATTTGCTCGTCAGTAGAGTACCCTTTTTATTCAAAATTAGTTTAGGTTTAGTTTGCTCGTCAGTAGAGTCTCCTTTTAATCTACAAGATCTAATTTAATTCCGCTCGTCAGTAAAGTCCCTTTTCGTATATAATTACCTTTTTGTTCCTTTCTGTTCTCCCAAAAATTTCCCAAAAAATTTCAAATTTGTTTGTCAAGATGGATATTTACTTTGCTCGTCAGTAGAGTCCCTTCTTTAATGATTTTATTTGTTTATTGGTAATGTTCTTTTATATAAATGATTTGAGGAAATACCAATCTGCTCATCAGTAGAGTCCTTTAGTCCTTTTTTCATTTCAAAGTCCTTACTTTGATTTTTAAATAAACATTGATAAATAATTTTTATGTTTTTTTTTTAACATTATATCTTGATATTTCATTTGCTCGTCCATAGAGTGTTTTTTTTCATTTCAAAGTCAACTTATATTGAATTTGATTGTAAGTAGAGTCCCTTTTTGTAAATAATTTTTTATTATTTTCAATTTGTTTGTCAGTAGAGTCCCTTTTTGTTTTCCCAAAAAATTTCAAATTTGTTTGTCAAGATTGATATTTGCCTTGTTTGTCAGTAGAGTCCCTTTTTAGGTTTCAAACTTCTAGATTTAATTTGCTCGTCAGTAAAGTCCTTTTTTTTTCATTTCAAAGTTCTACTTTAGTACAGTTTTTTTCTATATCTCGTTAACTACTTTATTACTCGTTTATTGTCTCTAATTACGCTCTCTACAATATTTAACTCTATAAATCATTATTTATCCTTCAAAATATTTGTATATATATTTGTATATATATATATATATATATATATATATATATACTTTTTTGCTATTACTTATATGTTAACGCGGTAACATTATATGTTGGTAACATTAGTCCTTAAAGTTCTAATTCTCTTAGTAGTAGTGTAGTATTATTATTATGAATAAAACCATCTATTTAATAAAAAAGACTCTACCGACGAGCAAACTGAAGCCGATGTTAAATTACTCTGTAATTTGGAATTTCCTGACTAAGAACTCTACTGACTAGCCAAATTACGTAAAGTATCTAGTACACAAATATGTAGAAAAATAAATTTTAAGTCTTCTAACAAACGATAAAACAGATTCAAGAAATATTATATTTTCTTAAAATATTTAAATTCATAAACCTCATAAACAAAATCAATTGAAGAAAGAATTGTATTAATTTACAAAACACCGAAAGTTTAATTGTAGTTGTCATGGTAACGCTATGTTATCCGTCTTTCTTGGTAGTAAAATCTGTGAAATGTGTATTTATTTGCGGCACAATCAGGCGTATTTTGCATATAAACAAAGCACGAAAGAATGTTATAATAACAGAATCTTCGTAGAAGCAGTTATTATAAAATACGCCTGATCGCACGGCAAACAGATAAACATTGATTTTCTAGACAGGGTTTGAGTTGCTTGTCAGTAGAGTCTCTTTTTTTTTGTCTTTCAGTAGTGAAACTGAGTTTGCTCGACAGTAAAGTCTCTTTTTTTACTTACAAGATTAATATCAAGTTTACTCGTCAGTAGAGACGCTTTTTTCAATATTATAGATACAAATCAATAAAAATCAATAAAAAGTTTGCTAGTCAATGGAATCTTTTTTTATATTCCAGTTTGCATGTCAGTAGAGTCCCTTTTTTAATATTTCAGTAGTAGAATTCGTCTTTTTTACTTTTCGGTTACTAATAAATTTGCTCGTCAGTAGAGTCCTTTCTTTATTTTGCTTCTCACAAGAGTCTCATTTTATGCAATTCAGTTCGCAATTTATTTTTGGTCGTCAGTAGAGTCCCTTTTAACATTTTAGATAAAAATCGAGTTTGCTCGTCAGTAGAGTCCCTTTTCTAATATTCTAGATAAAAATCGAGTTTGCTCGTCAGTAGAGTCCCTTTTCTAATATTCTAGATAAAAATCGAGTTTGCTCGTCAGTAGAGTCCCTTTTCTAATATTCTAGAAAAAAATCGAGTTTGCTCGTCAGTAGAGTCCCTTTTTTATTATTCTGAATCAAATTTTATGTTTGCTCGTCAGTAGAGTCCCTTTTTTATTACTCTGAATCAAATTTTATGTTTGCTCGTCAGTAGAGTCCTTTTTTTATTATTCTGAATCAAATTTTATGTTTGCTCGTCAGTAGAGTCCCTCTTAAATCTCCAACTTCAAATTTAACTTTGCTCGACAGTAGAGTTCCTCTTTTCATTTCAAAGTTCTCTTACTTTAATTTAGCTTTTTTCTCATCACTAGAGTCCTTTTCTAATTCAAAGTCCTAGATTTAGTTTGCTTGTCAGTAGAGTCCTTTTTCATTCTAATATTCATTTAGATTTAACTTGCTTGTTAGTAGAGTCCCTTTTTTCTAATTCTAGATCGAATTTTAAGTTTGCTCGTCAGTAGAGCCCCTTTTTCATCTTCAAGATCAAATTTAATTTTGTTCATCAGTAGAGTCCTTTTTTCATCCTAGATTTAGTAGAGTCTTTTTCTTTCTTCTTTTTGCATTAGTTCGTCTCTATTAACACACTTCGTCTCTAATTACTCGTTTATTGTCTCTAATTACTCGTTTATTGTCTCTAATTACACTTTCTATAATATTTAACTCTATAAATCATTATTTATCCTCCATATATATATATATATATATATATATATATATATATATATATTTGCGATCAGGCGTATTTAACATATAAACATAGCACGAAAGAATCTTACGATAACAGACTCTCAATGATTCTCTTATAACATTCTATCTTGCATTGTTTATATGTAAAATACGCCTGATCGCATAGCAAACAGATAAACACTTCCACAGTTTTCACTAATAATTATTTATCTAAATCAAATATCCTTTTTTTCCAGAAGTCAACCCGACTCCCCGCCACGACACCAACCCCAACATTAACCCCAAAGACTCGCCATCGCCCACCAAACCGAACAATACGGAAACCAAATGGGTTGCGAGTCTCAGGAGAAGGGACCCCGAAATACAGCCGGCCCTGCCTTCTATCCATTCTAGGACTAAACAAAATACCGGTAGTAACGGTAGTAATGGAAGTAACGGTAGTAACGGTAGTAATGGTAATAATGGTAATAATGGAGTTACCACATTGCACCACCACAGACACAGTTTGACCACCGCCAGACCTTCGAGGAGCATCGAAAGGGCGAGGGCGGCACTCTTAAAGGTAATAATAAAAATAGAAATAGATTTGACAATTGTTTTTATCATAGTCAAAAAAGAGACTCTACTGACGAGCAGGAGTATACAAAAAGGACTCTACTGACGAGCAGGTTTAATAATGAATTTGAAGAAACAAAAGCGACTCTACTTTCGAGCAAGCTAAATCTAAATGAATATTAGAATAAAAAAGGGACTCTACTGACGAGCAAACTAAATCTAAATAAATATTAGAATAAAAAAGGGACTCTACTGACGAGCAAATTTAAAATTTGATTTAAAAAAATAAAAAAGGGACTCTACTGACGAGCAAATTCAAAATTTGATTTAGAATAATAAAAAAGGGACTCTACTAACAAGCAGAATTAAACTAGATCTTGGAGATTGAAAAAGAGACTCTACTGACAAGCAAATTGGAATGTATAAGAAATTATTTACAAAAAAGGGACTCTACTGACGAGCATACTGAATGTAGACTTAAATTATGAAATAAAACTCTACCGACGAGCAAACTAAAAAGACTCTACTTATGAGCAATCTTAATACTAGAATATATGAAAGAAGCTCGACTAACGAGCAAATTAAATATCTACACAAAACATTAAAAAACAGCTTTACTGACGATAAAATTGAATATCTAGATAAAATATAAGAGAATCTACAAACAAGCAAGATAAATATCAATTTGGTGGATTAGAAAAGGGACTTTACTCGCGAGCAAACTAAATAAATAATAATAATAATAAATATCGACAATAATACAGGAACTCTACTTATGAGTAAATTGAATTCAATCTATAAAACGAAAAAGGACTCCACTAACAAACCGTCAATGAAGCAATAACAATAAAAATAACTCTACTGACGAGCAAACTGAATACCTAGATAAAATAATTTAAAAAAAAACTCTACTAACGAGCAAATTCAATATTTGTCTAGCTACATAGATGAAAAGGGACTGAAAGAAACAAAAGATTTTCACCGCCAAGTAAATTAAATAAAAGTGTGGAAGATAAAAAGGACTCTACTGAGGAGCTAATTAAATATTGTTGTAAACATAAGAGAAAAAGACTGTACTTTCTTGATAGTTAATATTAAAATATAAGAATGAACGAGAATTTTACCAAATATAATGTTGGAATCAACAAAAGAACTCTACTGACAAACAAATTTAAATGTAAAATAGAAGTTAAAAACAAGAAGAATTCATTTATGACAACATATAAATATGATAATTTTTAACAAAGAATTGTCTGTGTTAATCAAATCTATTAACATCGATTCATAACAATATTTTCACTTTTTTAGGAACGCAAAGCGAGTACGGCCCTGCCGAGCCCCACATCCACCAACTTGCACCCTTGTCAAAGGAATCCGGCCCTTTTAAGAAAAGCGACTTCGACCGAAGACAACGCGGTGTCATCCGATCCTGAAGTTAGTCCGGAGGAAAGGGAGTGCAACAGGTAAAAAAAATTAAACAAATTGTTATTCTTAGAACATTTCAATATTTTTTTGAATCATTCAAATCGGTTAGTCCGGAGGTAAGGGAGATATTATTAAAATATAATTAATTATGTCGCCATCTAACGGTGTGCTTTTACAAATAACCAAAATCTGGTAAGGACCTTGGTTGACCCGCCATTTTGAGCTTTCAATTTTATTCTTTATTATTATGTAAAATATAGTTGTTAATAATACATGGCTAAGACATGTTAACATCGACGTTTCATTTAAGTTCATTATACAATAAGTGTATATACTTACATTTTTACGCTTTCAAACAAATTATTGAAGTTTTTTGACAATTTATAAAATTTTGTCACCTTCAACTTTGTCTTGTACATATTAACTTCAAATATCAATAGCCTAGTTTTAGAAATTTATATCGTCTGCATTATATATAGTTAAGGGCTGGAATTTTAGTATGTTATTCCTAAAAGTATATACTATAAGTGTACATACTAAAATTTCATTGTTAGTAAAGTTTTTGACATATTTCAAAAATTTTATCCGCTTATGGAGTCACTTTGCAAATAAAATATTCTCGTTTTTGAGAATCTATACCGGCTGTACTATATATAGTTAAGGGTTGAAATTTTAGTATAGTATTCTTAAAAGTATATGCTATAAGTATACATTTATAGAATTTTATATTTCCGTACAAAATATTAACGTTTTTGACATTTTTGTAAAATTTTATCCGCCTGTGAAATGACATGAGAATTTATGCAATGACAGATGCTTGCGCATCGGGCGGGAATATGGTTAAAATATAATTAATTATGGCGCCATCTAACGGTGTGCTTTTACAAATAACCAAAATCTGGTAGGAGCACTGGTTGACTCCCCATTTTGATCTTTTTAATTTTTTTATTCTTTATCATTATGTAAACTATAGTTAACATCGACGTTTCATGTTTATTACACAGAAATAGACCAGCTTAACATTCCAATAATAAAATATAATTCTGTTTTTTCTTTTTTTAGTGGAAGGGTTTTCAGTGCAGTAGGCTACGAACCCCATTTAGTAGACACCATAGAAAAAGACATTTTGCAGAGAAACCCTGATATCCAGTGGAACAAAGTGGCGGGTTTGCACGAAGCCAAGGCCCTGCTGCAGGAGGCTATGGTCTTACCTATCATCATGCCGGACTTTTTCAAGGGTATAAGAAGGCCCTGGAAGGGCGTCCTCATGGTAGGACCCCCCGGAACCGGAAAGACCCTTCTGGCAAAAGCAGTGGCCACCGAATGTGGCACCACCTTCTTCAACGTGTCATCAGCAACCCTAACATCTAAATACAGGGGCGACTCGGAAAAACTGGTATAGCAAAAATACGCCTGATTGCACGGCAGAAAGCTATTAACTTTGTTTTAATATAACATTTTGATAATTTCATTGTGAAAATCTAGACTCTTTTTTAATAATGCTTTGTATTATCACAATTTAACAATCTCATTTTAAAAATTTATATACAGTTTGCTTGTCAGTAGAGTCATTTTTTATTGATTTGTCCGTCCAATTTGCTCCTCAGTAGAGTCCTCTTTCATAAATCAAGATAGAAGTATAACACAGCGTTGCCATGACAACGCTATGTTATGTTCTATTTTACCGGAGAATTAACCCCTAAAATTTTATTATAAGTGTTATAACTATTTAAAGTATATATTTTTATATCGCAACGTTTTATTAGATAAAAAAGGGATTCTACTGACAAACAAATTTTAATTTTCTTATAGAAGATTAAAAAAACGGACTCTACTGACGAGCAAATTTTAATTTTAGTTTAGAAAATTAAAAAATGGACTCTACTGACAAGCAAATTTTAATTTTTATCTAAAAGATTAAAAAAAGGAACTCTACTGACGAGCAACTTTCAATTTTTATTTGGAAGTTTAAAAAATGGACTCTACTGACGAACATATTTCCATTTTAATTTAGAAAATTAAAAAAGAGGTTCTACTGACGAGCAAATTTTAATTTTAATTCAGAAGATTAAAAAAAGAACTTTACTGACAAACAAACTAAAATAATATAGAAGGGACTCTACTAGCGAACAAACTTATTCATAAATAATATGAAAGGGACTCTACTGACGAGTAAACTAAAATAATTTAAAAAGAGACTCTACTGACGAGCAAACTGAACTAGTAAAAATAGATTTTGATGACGAGCAATAATAAAAAAAAATATTATAAAGGGACTCTACTGACTAACTTACTAAAAAGGGACTCTACTAACGAGCAAACTAAATTGCCAAGAAGGAACTCTATTGACAAGCGAAATAAATTGACAAAAAAGGATTCTACTGACTATATAAACAAAATTGCAAACTAAAACAAAAAAGACTGTACTGGCAACCAAAAAATCTGTCTAGATTAATATTCAATTTGCTCGTTAGTAGAGTTCTTTTCTTCATTTCATAACATCAGTAGAAGTAGAGCAATCAATAGAGTCCTTTTCGAGTTCAACATAAATATTTAATTGACTGGATAAATTAATAAAATGACTCTACTGACGAGCAAAATGAAATAATAAAGAAAAGACTCCACTAACTACTAATTAAACAATTGAAACCAATTATTTATACACCGGTTCGTTCGTCAGTAGAGTCCCTTTTTAATAATTGGATCAGCAGATTTCCTTTTTTTAAATATTTTTGATAATTTATGTCAGTCATCCCTTGATTTTTTTTTTATTTTAGTTTGCTCGTTAGTAATTAATATTTAAAATGAATTATCATTGTCCAGGTCCGCCTCCTGTTCGACATGGCCCGCTGGCATGCCCCCAGCACTATATTTATCGACGAAATGGACGCCCTTTGTTCGGCGAGGGGCTCCGATTCGGAGCACGAGGCCAGCAGGAGGTTCAAGGCGGAATTGCTTATACAAATGGATGGATTAAATCACACAGGGTAAATGAAAGAAATATATATATATATATATATATATATATACATATACCAGTTATGATTAAATTTTACGAGTGCTTGCCATGTCGTCCTAACCTAACACAACGCTTTCCCATACATTTTTAGTGAGGCTCAGATACGCATGGTAAGCGTTAGTAAAATATTTTTAGTACATTATTTTATTATACGGAACCCTATTACTTTGTGGGGTGTTTCGAGTATGATTTTTGGATAGTACTCATCGAGACCTTTCATTTGATACCCCACATGCCTATATTCGATTTTGAAAAGTCTTCACCGATTGTTCTGCAACCCATTGGTTTACTTTTTATATTATCTCTTGTAACTTTTGAACGGTTTGTCCGAATTGAATATTTTTATTCGGAAAATTATACTACATTTATTGATATAATATGTTCTTATCTGTAACACTATAGTAACTATGTGTACACTAAAATTGAATAAATTTACATCAGGAATTAAATAAATGTCTTGTAGGGAATCTTATTGTATTTTAGGTCAAAAATAAGTTTGCTCGTCAGTAGAGTCCTTTTTTATATTCTGGGCCAAAAATTAAGTTTGTTCGTCAGTAGAGTTCTTTTTTATGTAATAAATAAAAATTCGGTTTTCTCGTTAGTCTTGAAATGATAACTTATTTTGCTCGTTAGTAGAGTCCCTTTTTATCTAGTTTTATTAACTTCCCGTAGGGTAAGTTATTGTAATGGGCCGAAAATCGGAATTGAAAATTTTTACATTTCTCGACGTTTTGAAGGTTTCTGAACGTTTTGGCATACCTCGGAAGAAATGGATGTGTATGTGTGTGTGTGTATGTATGTATGTATGGATACAAATTTTCGCCCACGTTTTCGGGCGTACGGATCAACCGATTTGAATGGTTTAAAAAACATTCGATTCCTATTAATAAGAAGAAGAGCTGATTAGTTTTTGGCAAAAGACAGGTCCAGCAGTTACGGAGATAAGGAGCAAAGAGTGCAGAAAATAGAAATCGAGTTTTTGAGAGAACGGAGCATCCGATTTGGATGATCTAAAAGACATTCAATTAGTAATGATTGGGAGAAGGGGTTATTAATTTTTCGCAAAGGCAGGCTCAGCCATTACGGAGATACAGAGCTAAATGTACAAAAAATGGCAGTTTTTGAGAGAACTAAGCGTCCGATTCAATTGATTCAAAGAACTTTCTGCTTGTCTTAACAAAATAATTGATTTTGGAAAAAAAAAAATTGTACCATTTTTTTTTTCTTTTTTTTTTTTTTAATTTTTTGTATATCGAAAATAATTCAGATTTTATTTTTAATTCTGACTATAGTTCTAATATACTTTAAACAAATAATTTCAACTTATACAATGTTACAATATTTATAATAATCTATTTGAAAACATTCAGTATTCCTCGAACATTTTCGTTACGGTACGGGAAGTTCCAGCAATTTGCCTTAAGGCACGATGCCACCCACCCCACTAGTTTATTTTTTCGTCAGTAGAGTCCTTTTTGATGCTTGTAATTTAATTTGTTCGTCAGTAGAGTCTCTTTTTTATATTCTAAATCAAAATTAAGTTTGCTCGTCAGTAGAGTTCCTTTTTTATATTCTAGATCAAAATTAAAATTTGCTTGCCAGTAGAGTTCCTATTTAAAATTTCTAGTACAAAATTAAAGTTTGCTCGGCAGTAAAGTCCTTTAATTATTTTCTAGATCAAAAATTAAAGTTCGCTCGTCAGTAGAGTCCTTTTTTTATTCTTTTTCAATTTTATGTTCAGATTTAACAAGATAGCAAAAATAATGAAAGTTACGGTATTTATTATAATATATTTGAAATCGTTTAAAATTTCTCGAATATTTCATTACGGTACGGGAAGTTCCAGCAATTTGCTTTAAGACACGATGCCATACACCACTAGTTTATTATTATGTAATATTTATTTATTTTCAGACCCGATGACAAAGTAATAATGGTTCTGGCCGCCACTAATCATCCTTGGGACATCGACGAAGCTTTTCGAAGACGATTTGAGAAACGAGTATATATAGGGTTGCCCGATGGTAATTATAAACTATATTCTAATTATATATATATATATATATAATGTTTTTTATTAATTTAAGACGAGAGCCGGTCGGCCCTTTTACACTTATGCATGCAGGACATAACGATGGACGCAGATTCGAATGTTATCGGTGATCTTTTGGAAGGATATACAGCCGCTGATATTGTCAATGTTTGCAGGTAAATAATTATACACTATTTCATTTATAAATATTTCGTTCAATACATTATTATATATTGTAAAAAATTCAATGGTATAGCTAATTATAAAACACAAATATTATATTGTAAATTCAAATTCAAATATCAACGGTCAAAAAAGAGTTGACAGTACCGAACCGCGTACAACTTCATGTTGTTGGGTACAATGTTCAAAATTAAATGCAGTAATTTTAAAACATTTTATATACAAATTATAATAAGTTATTTGCTACATGTATGTTAGTTTCATTGGTTGTACGTTTATTTTATTATATAGAATTAGAGTATTATATATTGTTAGAAAGATAATAAAATTATCTACAAATCTGTATATAACGTTTGAAAACTTTTCGAACAAAATTAATTGTGAATAATATGTAAAATTTAAAATTCAGTTAGCCATTGGTAACATTTGTTTATATTTACGTTTATATTGCTAAAATTTGTTTTACAACATACATATTATTATATATGGTTAAAAAGCTAATAAATTTATCTACAAATCTGTATATAACAATTTACCACGATTCGAACAAAATTATTCACGTTATAGTTATATAAACGTTATAGTTAATGATAAAAAACAAATATTTTATTTAAAATTCAAATTCAAATGTTAACGGTCAAAACAAGAGTTGACAGTACTAACCCGCGTACAACTTCACATGTGTTGGGTACATTGTTCAAAATTAAATGCAGTAATTTTAAAACATTTTATATACAAATTATAATAAGTTGTTTTGTTGCATTGTACGAAGAACTCTACTGACAAATTGAGAAAAAAATTTAGAAAATTTTACTGACAAGCAAATTTAGAAGAAAATATAATTGGGACTCTACTGACTAGCAAAATAAAAAAAATTAATTGGGACTCTACTGACGAGCAAATTATTTAATAGGAATAAAATGCAAAAGAAACTCTACTAACAAGAAAAAAACGTCCAAATATCTGTACTGATAAGTTAATTTAGAAAAGATGTAAAATAAGTAAAAAGAGTGCGCGTAAGGATCACACGCGATTGAAGTAAAACTTTTAATATTGTATGAGTAGGCAATTAAGATAAAAATAAAAAAACATCATATTTAAATTTTAAAAATCATTTATTAATAATCACATAACATCAATAACACAGTTTAAAACAACATCGATAGATTAATTGCTATCATATTTCATATATGATATAATAGGTTTGTGATAACTAAAATGAGAGACATAAATTTTGCTTTGTAAACTATGTACATTTCTGGAGAAAACTGCATCAATAGTCGTGCCATATCTTGTGGTTGATTCAAATGGAGAATTATTCATTGTTAAATTAAATTTATTATTTAAAAAATCAATTAATGGTTGAGATTCTTCTGAACGAAAATTGACATTGAAATCTCCAGCAAGAATTAATGGTATCTCGTTGTGATTAGTGTTTAAAAGTTTGCACCCTCATAAGAAAAATGAAGTAACTGCTGATGAAGAAATTTAATAATATTTGATATGTTTTTATTGGGAGAAATGTAAAGGACGACTATAATCAATGTTTGATTCTGTGTGTGTAATATCACCTACTTGTGTAATTTCATTAGAAATATCCAGTAATATCGTTGGCGCAAGAAACTGCATAGGAGTCGCATTATGAAGAGTATCTGAACATGAATGATTAGACAGCTACACCACCTGCTCTTGAGTCCGATCGTTTGTATTGAGTAATGCAGTAATAGTTCTGAATATCAATTCGTTCTTCATTATTAATCCAAGTTTCCGAAAATAACAAAAACGTACAACGTTGTAGCACTTTATCTTGCAGATCAGGCAAATGAGCTCGTAAACTTTGGCAGTTAAAGTAAAACAATGAAATGTCGTTCAAACTTATTATCTCACTCAATTTTTCTTCTTGTGTTATTAATCTACAAGTTGAAAGTCTTTGGAATTCAGTTTTTAAGTTCATTAATCCTGCTGGCCGTTTTCTTCCATGATAAAATTTTTTGAAATGATGAACAATCCATTAATGCTGGTAACTCGTGATAATGCAACATATAGAAGCTGCTGATTATATGTTTTATTGTATTCATATACAATTTTATCAAAAGTACCACCTTGTGATTTGTGTATTGTGAGTGCACAAGCAGACACTAAAGGAAAATGATTTCTTTTGACAAATATGATTTTATTTCTATTCATTGGAATAGATGAAGATCTCCTGAGAATCGGCACAGCTGTCCTACTGATATTAAGAGTTTGAATATGATGTGCAGCTTTCTTCTTATTTTGTTACCTATCTTACCAGGAAATTCAAACCATAAACGTAGAAGTTCATCATTATCGCCACGTTCTATGTACACTAATTTTCCTACACAACCATTAGCTAAGCCATCACTTACATCAATATTAGTTGTTATAATGTAAAATTTATTCAGAACTAAAATTATTTCATACGGCAAACCCGCGGTATCAATAACCGATTTTTGTGAAACTGCTGACGAATGTATGATTGTTGATCTGTCGCATGGCAACCTACATAAATATCCGTGGCAGTAGATATTATTTTGTCTTCAACGAGATTCAGTATAAATTTATTATATTCCATGACACATTTATTCTCTAAGAAAAGTCTTATTCCATGAGGACATAACATAAAAAACGTGATTCAATTAATGCAAGTTCATATAGGGTTTAGCGCTCGACTTACGCATGACATGACGCGATATGAGTGGATACTCGCGACATCAGCGCTTACGGCGTCGTAGTGTTCAACTACACGTTGGCATTTCGTTGCATTTGTACGGATTTACACCCGTGTAGCCTAAAGAAATTTTTACACCCATATCGCGCCTAAAGAAGTTTTACTTCAAAAAATGTAAAAGGGACTCTACTGATGAGCAAATTTTACAAAAATCGTAAAAGAGGACTCTACTGAAGAGCAAAAATTAAAAAAAACCTAAAAAGGACTCTACTGGCTAACAACTTCAGAAAGAAGCATAAAAAAGGCTACTGACAAAAGAATAAAAAAAAACGTGAAAGGGACTCTACTGACAAGCAAATTAAAAATAAAATATAAAAGGGAATCTACTGACGAGCAAAATTTTATAAAATCGTAAAGAGGACTTTACTGACGCACAAATTTCCTTTTGAATCATTTTAGTTTGCTCGTCAGTAGAGTCCATTTGCAGTTTATTTGCCATTGTTTCAACATTTTTTGATACTTTATAAAATAAATTTGCTAAAATCTAATTTTTAACGATTTACGGAAAAAATAATAATATTCGGTAAAGCATTTAGTAAAAATATTTTAGATATTAAAATATTATGATAATAAATAAATTAAATGATAAAAAAATATTTTATATATTATCAAATTATATATTGTATACATTCTTACTTACCAATATTTTTCTAAATTCCAACATCGAGGATTAATCACAATATTTTGATTATAAATATGCCTAAATATTCAAACTTTTACTCTTACGATAAAAATAAACAAGTTATGACTCACTTAATTTGCACTTTTTATGTATTTTATTATCTTATAACAAAAGATATTAAAAAACAATAATAAAGAAATAAGAGAATATAAAAACAAATATGCATATAACATGTTTCAGTACCCAAATCACATAAACACTTTACACTTACATAACAACGCCATTATTGCAAAATTCTTGCTTTAAAAACTCGATTAATAGCAAAATTTTAGAATTTAATTCATAAACACTATCTATTAACAACAAACATTAGATTTTAGCGGACTACACTTCGCTAAAAATAATCTTAATTTTATTATGCACAACGAAAAATTTTAATATACACTTGCAAAATTCTTTGTTTATTAAAACCAACTATTGTTCCGCCATTGCGTGTCTGACAGTTGCGATCCTAAATTTAATAATAATATTTCTGTTATTATAATAACACTGTCTGTTAATATTGAACCGTAGATTTTACAGCAAACACTTCACTAAATAACTATAGTCATTTAATATATAAAACAAATGTCATGAACACTTTGTAATAACACAAATAACGTGCAAATGTCTTGATTTACTAAAACAATGTTTATTCCGCCATTAAGCGTTGGACAACGACGTTCAACGAATACCGGTGAACAACGTTCTTATTTTTGCAGTGTTACCACCATCTAGACAAAAACTATATCGATAATAATTTATACTTGTGACAAAAAGGATTTTGTAAATATGTTAATAAGTTTTAATAATATATTTTAACTTGTATAGGATATTTATGATATAAAAGATATTGATATTATTAGTTATTAAGACCAAAAAACTAAAAAAGAACATGAAATAAATATAAATTTGTATAAATACTAAGAACGAACTTCACAACGGACGCCAAACTGTCAACGTTAACAATACCAAGTTAATTATTATTATTAAATGTCGAAATAGTATTTAATTATTAATTATAACATCTTTACAAACGTATAAATACTATTTAATGCATATCCAATGTTTATAATATATTTGCATTACAAAACATAAATTGACAGTTGAAAAAATCCTGAAACCAACTTCTCACTTCACGTCACTTCAAATCATTTTTAGAATTATTCAAATCTATGTTTTGTTTTAAATGTATGTATATTTATTTTATATTATTCCTTCCAGGGATGCTTCAATGATGTCAATGCGTAAACGCATATCAGGAAGGACTCCATCAGAAATCAAAAGGATGAAACGTGAAGAATTCGATCTTCCTGTAACGACATTGGACTTTCAAGAAGCCCTTACACGTTGCAAAAAATCAGTGACAGCAAGTGACGTGGAAAAATATGAACAGTGGATTCAACAATATGGATCGTGTTAATCTACAATAGACTATAATTATTCAGTCGATTATAAGTAATAAATATATATATTATGTTTGTATAAAGAGAGCTTTATTCTCAAATTCCAATTGTCATATATAGAAATATTTATAATATTTAACATCATTATCGAGTTGTATGTAAATATATATAAGTACATGTAAAGTGACTCCTTACATTTATAAATAAATAAACAAATCAATAAACAAAATAAAACAATCTTTTATAATACAACTCGATGGCAGTTTCTCGTAACAGAAATAAAATTAAACAATGAGTATATATCTAATTAATATACCTGTCTTCAAATTGCGTAAACTATATACATATTTATATTTCTATTTAGCGTTTATTTAGCGTTTATTCAGCTTTTCGTGCCCCCTTGGACTTCCAAGCTGTCACCAAATTCCAGGCAAAGTATAACGAGAAGAAATGTACTTGCGTTGCTAGTAATAGAAAACCGTACCACAGCAAACCGTAAGGGTAACCCTGAAAGAAAAAGGGAGTTCTTTTTATTATATTTTCTTAATTTACTCGTCAGTAGACTTTCTTTTACATTTTTTTATTAATTTAAATTACAACTAGTGGTGTATGGCATCGTGCCTTGAGGCAAATTGCTGGAACTTCCCGTACCGCAATGAAATATTCGAGACATTTTAAACGTTTTCATATATAATATTACAAATACTGTAACTTTCTTTATCATTTTTTACTATCTTGTTATTAAATTTGAGCAAATCAAATGTAAATCATAAATCATAAATCAATTTATCTCCAGAACAATAACAATCGTCATTTCATTTCGAATTCAGTTTAAAAAAAAAATAGTTGCTAAAAAAAAGTTCAAATTGAAAAAGTGCTCCCGTATAGTCACAGTCTAAACGCATTTGCAAATAATTCTGTGCGACATTTTCACTTATACTGTGCTTAGCTTGGCGGCATTTTTGCATTTTTCAATAGTTTTTATATTATTATTATTGATTACGGCTTGCTTATGAATAAATAAATAAATAAATGCCATTTCGAAGTAAAAATTACGAAAATTAACCAAGCTAAGCACAGTCTCAGTGACAGCCTGGTACAAATATTTTCACGAGTGCGTTTAGATTGTTACTTCACCGGAGCGCTTTTCAAATCTCATGTAAATTATTTATAAAAATTACATTTTATGTTGAAAAAAATCGAAAAATGACCCATGCTAGGCACAGTCTAAGTGACAACGCGGTACAAATGTTTTCATGAGTGCGTTTAGAATGTGACTGTACGGGTGCACTTTTCCAATTTTGAGAAAATTATTGAATGAAATGAAACATGAGGCAATCTAAGTCTATATAAATTTTTATAGAAATGCCATTTTTAGTTGAAAAAAATCGAAAAATGATCCAAACTAGGCACAGTCTAAGTAACAACCTGGTATAAATTTATTTGGAAAATTACATTTTGAGTTAAAAAATTAAAACTAGTAGTGTATGGCATCGTGCCTTAAGGCAAATTGCTGGAACTTCCCGTACCGTAATGAAATATTCGACAAATTTTAAACGCTTTTAAATATATTATTACAAATACTGTAACTTTCATTATTCTTGCTCCCGTATAGTCACAGTCTAAACGCACTTGGTTTAACATTTGCACCAGAGTGGCGCTTAGACTGTCCTTAGTCTGGGTCATTTCTTGAATTTTTTGAAAAGAGTGAAATGTGAAAATGCGGCCAAGCTAAGCACGGTATAAGTGAAAATGTAGCACAGAATTATTTGCAAATGCGTTTAGACTGTGACTACGATTTTTCAATTTTGTTTAAATTAGGCAACTATTTTTTTTTTTAAATCGAATTCGAAATTAATTTGCTCGTCAGCAGAGTTCTTTTTAAATTTGTTTTTCTCAATTTGCTCGTCAGTAGAGTTCTTTTTATCATTTATTAATACTTTATTTGATAGTAAGTAGAATTCTTTAGCATTTTTTTTAATTTGCTCATCAGAAGAGTTCTTTTTAATTCTATTTCCCAAATTTGCTTGTCAGTAGAGTCCCTTTTTAAATTTATTCCCAAATTGGCTCAACAGTAAAGTTCTTTTTCATTTTTTTAAATTTGCTCGTCAGTAGAGTTCTTTTTAAATTTGTTTTCCTTAATTTGCTCGTCAGTAGAGTTCTTTTTAAATTTGTTTTTCTTGATTTGCTCGTCAGTAGAGTTCTTTAGCATTTTTTTTAACTTGCTCATCAGTAAAGTTATTTTTAAATTTTTTCCTAATTCGTCATCAATAAAGTTCATTTATCTGGTTTTCCTGATTTTGCTTATCAGTAGAGTTCTTTTTAAATTTGTTTTTCTCAATTTGCTCGTCAGTAGAGTTCTTTTTAAATATATATTTAAAAGTCAGTAGAGTCCTTTCTTATATTTAGTTTGTCAAATCGTCAATAGAATGAATTAAATTTGTTTTTCTTAATTTACTCGTCAGTAGAGTTTTTTTTAATTTGTTTTTCTTAATTTGCTCATCAGTAGAGTTCTTTTTAATTTTGTTTCTCTCAATTTGCTCGTCAGTAGAGTTTTTTTTAAATTTATTTTTCTCAATTTGCTCATCAGTAGAGTTCTTTTTAAATTTGCTTCTCTTAATTTGCTCGTCAGTAGAATTCTTTTACATTTATTTATAGATTTGCTCATCAGTAGAGTTCTTTTTAAATTTGCTTTTCTTAATTTGCTCGTCAGTAAAATTCTTATTTTCTAAAATTGTATTAGGAAATATTAGTATGTAAACAAAAAAAGGACTCTACTGACAATCAAACAAAGTAGTAATAATCCTTGAGAAGAAAAAAAAGCGACACTACTGATGAGCAAACTTTAATTTCGATCTACAATATTAAAAAAGGGACTCTACTAACAAGCAATAAAAATAATGATTTGAAAATACGAAAAAGGTTTTGTTTCTGACATTATTTAATATGAATTTACTATGTCTAATATTATTAAATAATTATTAATAATTAAATAATATTAAATTGGAACGTTCAGGCAACTTGCCTTGAGGCTAAAAACCACTTAGTTCATGATAAAACTATTCATATACATTTGTACTAAAAATATTTCACTAACGCTTACCATGCGTACCCAAACCTAAGAAAAAATGTATGGGAAAGCGTCGTGTTAGGCTCGGCCGACACGACAAGCGCTCATAAAATTTAAAACATTAATATAAGGGCAAAGATTTTGTCACATCAAATATGGCATGTGGGGTATCAAATGAAAGGTTTCGACGAGCACTTTACGAATATCATAGTTATAGACTGAAAAAACCAATAGGGTTCCGTACACTATACATTCAATAAAATTACAATGACATAATTTTAACTTTCTTTTGCGTTATTAAAGCTGTACGACTTATGATGTTAGGTAGATGAAATATTTTTGAACAAATCTCTCTAATATGTTATTGATATTGGACGGCCGGTTTGAAAGTTACAACAACTTTAATAAATAAATGCACAAGCGAGTCGAGCCGATGTCGCATCGAACCGCGTCGTACTATATACAGTACAGGGGTCAAAATGTTCCAAATAGTAAAAATGCATGTTGGGTATCAAATGAAAGGTCTCGGCGAGCACTATCTAAAAATCATACTCAAAATGCTGTAGAATACAATAGAATTCCTTACAAAGCATGTATTTAATTTATAATTTTAAATTTATACAATTTTTGTGTACACCAAGTTATTATAGTGTTACAAATCATAACATATTGTAGATAATTTATATTAGTACAAATTTTTCGAATGTTGCGTTCAATTTGGACAAACGGTTCAAAAGTTACCAGAGATATTATAAAAAGTAGACCAATGGGTTGCAGAAAACTTTAGTAGATCAAATATAGGCATGTGGAGTATCAAACAAAAGGTCTCAACAAGCGCAATTTAAAAATCATACTCAAAGATCTTACAAAGCACCAGAGTTCCGTACAATACAATATTTACTTCTTACCTGCCACAAAATAATGTCCTCAGCGTCTTGTCCTTCAGCTAAATACTCTAAAACGTCTCCACAATAATAAATAAAACAATATAACAATGGCAAGTAACCCAGCACGACTATTCCTATCATGTATCGTTGCATCAGGGCTACTCGGTTTCTTCTGGCTGCTGTCAGACCAACAAAAGATAGGACGACTGATAGGCACCAGATGTATTCCCACCATAAAGGCTGGAAAAAGAACACGTTGAATCTTAACTAACTTTTTCTTTAAAAATCATTATAAGTTCATAATTATTTTTTACCGTTGGAATTTCTAATTCCTCGATTTCTAATATAAAAATATCCAGTCTGTCCAAGATGTCTGCGGAAAGCTTTGCAAGCATCGCAAAGAAGAGTAGATAGTGGAAAAATATACAATATTTCAATCTAGATTTATTCAGAGCACTGAAATAAAACAAATACTTTAAAATAATATATTCAACATAAAACATGTATCTAACACAACTTATTATTAGTGCCTCAAACTGAGTATTTAGTTTATGAAACAAACAAACCACAATTTAACAACCAAACCCAATCCTTTCTACCTAAATATATCATTTTTAATTTGAGGTTAGAATTTTTTTATTATTACCTTATCTGATATTGTGCAGCAACGCGTTGCCTGTGTAAAAAATCCGTCCCATCAGTCCCCAAGACCATGGGGCCCCCTTTAGAGGCCATTTTCGACTTCCAAATTCACTAAAATAAATAAATAAATCTATAAATCCAATTCGAACATATTGTATAGATTATTCTTGGACAAGAGCTAATGTCAGCGTGTCAGCATGTGACGTTTGCTGTTGTCAAATATAGATTGAAATTAAATATTAAAATAATGAATTAAATTATTTGTTTTGTGTTTAGAGACATTGTAATTGAGATTGTTGGTGGGAATTGTTTTAAATTGTTTAAAATTTGTTGATAAATTTTAATTTTGTGCAAAATGTCAACATGGCGTTCAACTGTCAAATGAAAACTGTCATGTCTCAACTGTTAATAGTAATTAAAATACATACATAATAAATAAATAATTAAATTTTATATTCAGAAGACATTTTCATGAATATGTTGTAGTTTAGAATTGTATCAAATTAGATTAAAATGCTAAAATTTGTTTATATTGTGTCAACCAAGATAGTGTCAAATGTCAAAAGAAAACTGTCAAGTTTTAACTGTTTTATTGTAATTAAAAATACGATTTATATACCGATAATGGCAATAAAAAAACGATTTTAATAAAATTATAATAAATTTTGTTAATATAAATTGTATTAAATTGGATTAAAAGTGTTGAAATTTTTATTTTGTTAAAATGTGTCTGTATGGCTCAACAACTGTCAACTGAAAAACTGTCAAGTCTCAACTGTTTATATTTTGTTTAAAATACAATTTATGTAAATAATGGAGATAAAAGATCGATTTAAATAATATTATAACAACTTTGTTAATGTAAATTGTATTTAATCAAATAAAAGTGTTGAAATTTCTATTTTGTTAAAATGTGTCAATATAAAAAATAACAATAAAATGCGGCAACTGTCAATTAAAAACTGTCATGTCTCAACTGTTTTATTATAATTAAAATACAATTTATGTTAATAATGAGAGATAAAAGATCGATTTAAATAATATTATAACAAGCTTTGTTAATGTAAATTGTATTTAATCAAATAAAAGTGTTG